CCCGGCGGTGTAGGGAGCCAAACACAGCCCCTCGCAGACCTCTTTCTGGAGGAAGTCTCCAAATGTGCCTTGCCTGCCTGTGCTTCGGTTAGGAGTGGCTGGAGCTCCACTGAACCCCGCCTGGTACACAGAGGGAGGCGAGAGGCTTTTGCTGCGCCCCCTTCTGGCTGTGCTGCGCCACTGCACCTACCTTTTTGAGTTCCCTCCCCATCACCCACCTCTCTGTCTCTGAGAAGAGGAAGAAGCCCCGTTCGAGGGCACCAGGGCAGCGAGGTTCGCTTCCTAGAAGACAGAGAGAAGCCATTCTAAGCCCTTAGCTTTGGTGGCTACAACTCTCTTCATCCCTGACCCGGAGCTGCTGTGCAGTTTGACCACCTTCTGTGAGGACCACTCGCCCTGAGAGCCCCTCTCCCTCCTCGCAGGCGTACCAGAAGTTGGAGACGCTGCAGGCAGCAGTGGCAGGGCCGTCTCTGGAGCCAGAGGCCGCCAGCCGCAGCCCCCCTTCCCCTCAGGAGAACTCCTACGTGTCCACCACCGGCAGTGCCCTGAGCGGTGCCAGCCCATGGCAGCCCCTGGCGGCGCCCTTGGGAGCCCTGGCCCAGGCTACAGAGCGGCTGCGGAAAGGTGCCAACCAGCCCGTGGAGAGCGACGAGAGCATGTCCGGTCTCTCTGCTGCCCTGCATTCCTGGCACCTGACCCCGAGCCGCCCCCTGGGCCCAGCCCGGCCAGGCAGCCCTGGCCCAGGGGCCGCCGTGTGGGCGCCAGCCCCCCTCGGACAGGCTGGCTGTACTCAAGGGGATGCCACCAGACAGTCGAGCTGGGGGAGCGGCCCGGGGCTCCAGCCCACAGCTATCGAAGGTACCTGGGGACACGTGCCCAGAAGAGGGACCAGCGGCCTCCTTTGGTGGCAGTCCCCATCTTCCCCACCCCCGGCCTTCTGGGAGGAGAGAACTGGGGCCTACCGTTAAGCTCCCTGTGTCCTTAGCAAGTTCCAGGACACTGTCTTGGGGAGGCCCCCCACGCGGCCTTGGAAAGGCCCACAGAGGACGGTCCCGTGCCGTCTCATCTCCCCAGACCACGGCCCCAGCTGGCTGAGGAGAGGCCAGGACCTTGCTCCCCGAAAGCTGGGGGCAAGGAAGGCCCAGTCCAGGACCGGGCTCCAGGCCCAGCAGCTAGCCAGGGCCCTAGCACGGCCCCTCCTAGGCCCCACTCTCAGAGCGCTGAGGGCCTCTGTCCTCCCGAAGGGCAGGGAGCTGGGCTGGGGACCGGGAAGGCTCATGGGGCCAGAAGTGTCGGCAGGGAGTTCCAGGGTCATCGGCCCCTGTGGCTCAGGGGGCCCTCTCTCCACCCCAGGACCGCTCCTGGGCGGCTCCACGTCGTCGCTGACCCCCCAGATTGTCATCAACCCGGCGCGACAGAAGATGCTGCAGAAGCTGGCCTTGTACGAGGCTGGGGTCCTAGACAGCCTGCAGCTGCTGTCATCTAGCGCCCTCCCAGGTACCCCGGGGCCGCGCTCTGCGGCCGGGCGGCTGGCCTCTGGGCCACTCGGAGCCTGCGTTCCGATGGGGCCCAGATGGGGCCCCACGCCTCCTCTGGGACACCGTGTATTCTGGGTACAGCCCTGTCCCGGCTCGCTCTCCTCCTGACGACACGCACCTTCCCTTAGCCTGGGAGTGCCAGCAGCCCCCGTGCTCCCAGAATACAGGCAGCCCCCGCAGCCACGCCCCATTCCAGAGAGCGCCCCGGGAGCAAGGGGGAAGCGCAGCCCAGCCCTCGAGCGCCTCCGCCTGCTGGCTAACCGACTGGCATTTCTTCCCCCGCTCTGCAGACTTGGGCCTGGAGCACCGGAACAGGCAGGGGCCCGAAGAGAGTGATGAGTTTCAGAGCTGAACTGTCCGCCTGGTCAGATCCCTAAACCCGGAAGTCAAAGTTCTCACGGTTGGCAGTTCTCACAGCTCGCGAACCCTCGGCAGCCCTGGGGGCTCCGTCCTCACGGAGGAGGGCAGGTGGTGGCCCTGCTGCTCTTGGGGCGTGGGCACAGGCAGGGCTCAGGGCCCCCCGGGCCGGCTGCGACTGGCTGTCGCTAGGGCAGGACTTCTCAACAGCCTGCCTTTGGACCAGCATTCGCGGGAGAGGAAAGCCGATGTCGTTGGAGGGGCCGGTGGCGGGGAGGAGGGCAGGTCTGAAGGCTGCTGGCCACACAGGCCAAGGAGGAGAGGTGAGTGGCCCAGTGGGACTAGCGGGGCGCCAGCTCCCCTGAGAGTTGGGCGGGACTTCTGCAGCCCAGGCCTACAGCAGCAGCCCTTAGCCCTTCTTTTCAGACCTTGCTGAAGCCCTGGGGAAAGGCAGCCGCTCTGATGACGGGAGCCGATGAGGCCAGGGGCCCTCCCAGCTGCTTGTAATTGGGAAGGGGAAAGTGAGCTGTGGCTGTCCCGTGGTTCAGTCCACTAGCTAGAAGCGGGAGTTGTGAGAGGCCCCAGCGAGTGCAGCAGCGCCTCCCATCAGGCCAGCGTCCGCAGGCTTCCCCAGGGAGCCGGGAGCCAGCCTAACAGGCCACCGAGCCAGGTCGGGCTCCAGAGGCCACAGGCTCAGCCTCAGGCCCGGGCACTGCTTGTGACAGAGGGGCCACTACCCCAGGTTTGGCTAGGCCCAAGCCTTGTGTTACCCAGACAGTGAGAAGCCCCAAGACAACAGAGGAAGGAAAATGAAAATGGGACTCACGTTTGTAGAAGCAAGTCAGCGTTCGTGTAACTGAGTGTCTTTGAAAGTAGCCCGGGGCTGTAGCACAGGCTTCGGATGATTATGTGTCTGCAATCATGAGTCACACTACATGCCCCACGAGGCTAGGCATTGGTGAAGTCCAAGTTGTCCTGGAGTAATAAAAACTTACACTTTGATCTCTGGCTGTACTTGTAGGCTTTGTGGCACTGAAAGCCTTGAGCTTTTCCAGTGCTTTTCATCTCGGTGTTCTCGACTGTCCAAACCCAGACCCTAGCCTCCCACCCCCAGATCCTCTGGAGGTTCTTGTTTCCATTCCCATTAAGCCACCATGCTGGTTGGCAGATCCACAACACTACTACCCCAGCAGTACTTTCACAGGTTGTGAAATTTCCCCTATTTTATGGATTTTGATGCTGTTGTAAATGGTATTTTTATTTCATTTTCTAGTTGATCATTAACAGTGTATAGAAACACAGCTGAGTTTTGTATATTGGCTTTGCATTCTGTGGCCTTGGCTTTAACTCACACCTTAGCTCTAGTTTTTGGTGAATACCTTGGGATAGTTTATGCACACAATCATCTCATCTGCAAATAAAGACAGTGTCACCTATTCCTTTCCGTCTGTATGCCTTTCAGTTCTTTTTCTTTTCTAATTAATTAGCTAATTAATTAATTTGGCTGCACCGTGCAGCTTGCGGGATCGTGGTTCCCTGACCAAGGGATTGAACCTGGGCCCATGGCAGTGAAAGCGCGGAGTCCTAACCACTGGACTGCCAGGGAATTCCCTCATTTCTTTTTCTTGCCTTGTTACGCTTGCTAGGGCCTCTGGTTAAATGTTGAATAGAAGCGGTGAAAGTGGACATCCTTGCCTTGTTCTCAATGTTAGGGGGCAAAGTGTTGGCTTTTCACCATTAAGTATGATGCTACCTATAGGATTGTCATAGGTGTGCTTTGTCAATGTGGTAAACCCCATAAATTGATTTTCCAATATTAAACCAACTTTGTATTCCTTAGATAAAAACAGCACTTGGTCATGATGTGTTATCCTTTTATATATTGCTGAATTCCATTTGCTAATATCTCTTGAGAAGTTTTTGCATCCGTGTTCATGAGGGGTATTGATGTGTAGTTGTCTGGTAATATCTTTATCTGGTTTTGGTGTCAGGGCCTCATAAAACAAGTTGGAAAGTGTCTCCTCCTCCTGTGTTCTCAAAGGGCTTGTGTATCCTTCGTGTTACTTCTTTTTTTTTTTTTCAATATTTATTTATTTGGTTGCTCCAAGTCTTAGTTGCAGCAGGCAGGCTCCTTAGTTGTGGAATGCATGTGGGATCTAGTTCCCCGACCAGAGATCGAATCCTGGCCCCCTGCACTGGGAGCTCGGAGTCTTAGCCACTGCGCCACCAGGGAAGTCCGCAGTGTTACTTCTTTAAATGTTTGATGGATTCACCAGTGAAGTCATCTGCACCTGGAGTTTTCTTTGTGGGAAGGTTTTTCATTATAAGTTCAATTTCTTTAATTAGATATGAGGCCCTTCAGATTTTGTTTCTTCATGGGTCAGTTTTCATAACTTGTGTCTCAGTTTGCCCATTTCATCTCAGTTGGTGTAAACTTAATAATCCCCCCTTACCCTTTTATGTCTGTAGGATCTATAGCAATAGCCCCTCTTTCATCCTCAATATTGGTAATTTTTGTCTTTCCTTTTTTTTGATCAGCCTAAATAGAGGCTTATCAATTTTATTGATCATTTCAAAGAAGCAAGTTTGGTTTCACTGATTTTTCTCCATTGTTTGCCCATTTTCTGTTTTATTGATTTTCCACTCTTTATCATTTCCTTTCTTTTACTTGTTTTGGAGTAATAAATCTTATTTTGCTCATCTTTTTTCAGCTTCTTAAAGCATAACCTTAAATCACTGATTTTAAACCTTGCTTTTTCTAACATAAGCGTTTAAAGCTGTAGATTCCCTTTGAGAACACCTTTAGCTGCATTCTACTCATTTGGATAAGTTCTGTTTTCATTATCATTCAGTTCATAATGTTTTCTAATTTTCCTTGTGATTATTTCTTTAACCAATATCTTACGTAGAAGTGTATTTAGTTTCCAAATATTTGAGAATTTTGCAGATATCTTTTTGCTATGTGTTTTTAATTCTGTTGTGGTCAGAAAATTTACTCCGTATAGTTGCATTTCTTTTACGATTATCGAGACTTGTTTTATGGCTTAACCTATGGTTTAGCTTGGTGAATGTTCCATGTGTATTTGAAAAGAGTATATATTCCGCAGTTGGGTGGAGTGTTCTGTAAATGTCAGTTAGGTCAAGGCGGTTGATGATAGTGTTCGAGTGTCTGGCGGACTGAGAGAAAAGGACTGCAGTCTCCAGCTGTAACTGAATTTGCCGTTCTCCTTTCAGTTCTGTCAGATTTTGCTGCATGTATTTTGAAGCTATCATTGGGTGCACACACATTTAGGATTGTTGTGTTCTTGATAAATTGGCCCTTTTATTATCATTGAATGCCCCTGTTTATCTCTGATAATGTTCTTTCTTTTGACGCCTGCTTTATCTGGTATGAACATGAGTGGCTACTCCCAACTTCCTTATGCCTAATTTGTTCCGTGGTATAACTTTTTCGGTTCTGGTTCTCTTAACCTACCTGTGTCTTTGTATTTAAAGTGCAGTTATAGATGCATATCGTTTGGCGTTACTTTTTGTTTTGTTTTGTTTTTTGTCTGTTTGTTTCTTTTTCAGTCTTACTTTTTTTGGGCTACTCTTACCTGCGGTGCGTGGGCTTCTCCTTGCGGTGGCTTCTCTTGTTGCAGAGCACCGACTCTAGGCGCACGGGCTTCAGTAGTTGTAGCACGCGGGCTCAGTAGTTGTGGCACACAGGCTTAGTTGCTCCACAGCATGTGAGATCTTCCCGGACCAGGGCTTGAACCTGTGTCCCCTGCATAGGCAAGCAGATTCTTAACCACTGCGCCACCAGGGAAGTCCCTCAGTCTTACTTTTTTAACCACTCTCATGATCTCTGCCTTTTAATTGGTCTGTTTAATCCATTTACATGTGATGGTTAGGTTTAAGTCTGTCATCTTGCTATTTATTTTCGATTTGTCCCATCTGTTCTTTGTTCCTTTTCTCCTCTTATTCCTGATTTCTTTTGATTAATCACATATTTCTGGCGTTCTATTTTTTCTCTGCTGTTGGTTTGTTAGCTCTGATAACTGAGGCCACTGGTTCTGCTCAGGAGCCCCCTCTTCCTGCACCATATTCTGGAAAGTACCTCCAGGCAGAGATGCAGGCTGCTCGGAGCCGTCTCCACATTTGTCTTCCTTCTGATCACAGTCGTGCGCTGCCTGTTGGCCGATATCTGAAAATAGTTGTTTCAAATACTTTGACTGGTTTCCTAGTTGTTCACACCGAGAGGGCTATTCTGGCCAGAATCAGAACTTTCCCCTCTTTTCTGAGGAATTCTTCAATCCTGAGATCACCCCATCTTTCTCCTGCAGGATCCATTTCCTCCTCCCTCCTGGATCTACTTTCATCAGCTCACTGACTTTGTATAGCTGTAAACAGCCAGGTGCCAGCCACTGCTGAGATCTAAGTCGGTACCAGTTATCTGTTGTTCCAAACCACCTCGAAGTTGAGGGGCTGAAACGATGACATTAACTTTGCCTGTGAACTTGCAACCTGGGCGGGGCTCCGATGGGACAACTCAGTGTCAGCTGGAGTGACCAGAAGGCTGGTTGCTGGGACCATCTGGAGGCTCCCACACGTGTCTGGTGGTTAGCCAGGGACCCTGCTGGGACTAGGACACCTACACATACCTCTTCCTTGTGGCCGTGTGGCTTCTTTCCAGCACGGGGCTGGCTTCTAAGACTGAACCTCTTGAGACAGCCTGCTGGAGGCTGTGTCACCTTTCATGGTCTGCTTTCTGCTGCACCCTTGAGGGGAAAGGAATCACAGTCCACCTTTCGATGGGAGGAGTGTCAAGATTCATGGACGGGTTGAAAAGCAGCCCAAGGGCATTTCCGTCACCCTGCAAAGGTCCCTCATGCGAGAGGAGCGCTAGGCTGGCTTCAGACACGTAGACGAGTCTGCTGTGTTCTTGAACCTCCCATAAATGGAACCGTGCAGCACGGGCCCTTTCGTGCCCAGCTTCTTTCACTCGGCACATAG